CCCGGTCGAGGATAAGGTTGTTAGATCCATGGAGCCTGGTTGTGAGGACCGGATAGAGGATCAGAACAAGCCTAAATGAAAGTGGAGGCGAAAGATTTATCCAGCATCTGCGGTGCATAGAAGTGCTAGGATTCGTACTACTAAAAAAATTCCATGATGAATTATGAGAGGCATCTTTTGGAATAGCAGAGGTCTGACTGACTTGGCTAAAAGAAGGTTTCTAGCACATGCTTCCATTGAGCACTGGTTTGATTTTATCGCCCTCTCTGAAACAGGAAGGGACAATTTCTCTCCTCAGTTTCTAAACACTTTAGCGGGAGGTGTCGATTTTGATTGGCATTGCCTTCCCCCAAGAGGAAGGTCAGGGGGGTCTTACTTGGGGTTAGATGTGAGATGTTGGAAGTCCGAAGTGTGGTTATGGGTGATTTCGCCGTCAAATTTCGGGTTAGATCCAAGGTCGATGGCTTTAATTGGGCACTGGTAGCGGTATATGGGGCCGCGCAGCCGGAACTCAAACCAGACTTTTTGGTGGATCTCGTCCGTATTTGCGGGTCTGAGCAGCTTCCAATCTTGGTTGGGGTGACTTTAATACTATTAGAAGGAGAGAAGAAAAGAACAATGATAATTTTGACGCAAGTTGGTCATTCATGTTTAATACCATTATTGAAAGCTTGGATCTCAGAGAGATAGAGCTTTCGGGTAGAAAATTCACTTGGGCTAATACCTTGCAAAACCCGACGTATGAGAAGCTGGATTGAGTCCTAGAAAGCGTCGACTGGGAACAGAAATTCCCTCTGGTAACAGTCTAAGCGTTATCTCGTGGAATCTCTGACCACACCCCTTTGCTGGTTGACTCTGGTGAGGCAACACACGTGGGTAATAAAAATACCTTTTCTTTTGAATTAGCGTGGTTTGAAATAGAAGGTTTCCTAGATCTGATAGCCAGGGAATGGGCGAAAGATGCAGGGGGGGTCTTCTATTGAGAGATGGTAGAATAAGATTAGGCACTTGAGAAGTTTCTTACGAGGGTGGGGCTAAGCATCTCAGTGGGATTTATAAGGTTGAAAAGGAAAGGCTCCTTACACTTATTCAGTCCCTAGATTTAAAAACTGAGTCCACAATTTTAGAAACCTCGGAGCTTCATGCTAAAGTACACACATAGATGAGATTGAAAGAACTCCTGCGAGAAGAGGAATTGAAGTGGGCATTGCGAGCTAAGGTTCGCAAAGTTGTCCAAGGGGACGCCAACACTCAATTCTTTCATATGATCGCCAATGGCAAGCATAGAAAGAAAATAATCTTTCAGCTTGAGCAGGACGAGGGGACGATTTTAGGACAGGAAAACCTAAAATTATACATACCCAATTACTACAAGCAGCTATTTGGGCCTCCAGAGGATAATTTTGTGTCCTTGGACGAGTCTAGGATTGAGGATGTTCCTTAACTGGCTGCAGATGAGAACAATGTATTAACCGCCCCATTTTCGGAGAAAGAGGTGTTTGAAGCTATTTCACAGATGAAGAATAATAAAGCTCCGGGGCCGGATGGATTTCCGGCGGAGTTTTATAAAAGATGCTGACACATAATTAAAGGGGATTTGTTACCGATGTTCCATGATCTATTTTCTGGACAGCTTCAGTTGTTTCATCTGAATTTTGGAACAATAACTTTGCTTCCGAAGAAAACTGAGGCTGTGAGAATTGAGCAGTTCAGGCCTATCTGTCTTCTTAACGTTAGTTTCAAAAATTTTACCAAGGTTGGGACTAATAGACTCACACATATTGCGCACTCTATGGTGCATCCGACCCAAACTTCTTTCATGCCGGACAGAAAAAACCTAGAAGAGGTTGTGGTCCTTCATGAAATGCTCCATGAAATCCATACGAAAAAACTAGACGGGGTTGTTTTCAAAGTGGATTTCGAAAAAGCATACGATAAAGTCAAATGGCCATTTCTGCAACAGGCCTTGCGCATGAAAGGTTTTGATCAGGCCTGGAGACACCATGTTGAATCTTTCATGCAAAAAGGGAGTGTTAGAATCAAAGTGAATGACGACATAGGTCACTACTTCCAAACACATAAGGGCCTGAGACAAGGAGATCCAATGTCACCTATTCTGTTCAACATTTTAGTCGACATGTTGACAATTCTAATAGGAAGGGCAAAGGATGTTGGTCAAGTAGGTGGCCTGATACCTCATCTAGTTGCTGGAGGGGTGTCTATCCTACTGTACGCCGATGATACTATATTCTTCATGGATCATGACTTGGCAAAAGCGAGAAACATGAAGCTGGTGCTATGCTTATTCGAACAATTGACCGGGTTAAAGATTAACTTACATAAAAGCGAATTGTTCTGCTTTGGAAGAGCCAAAGAGGAACAAGAGGCGTACAAGCAATTGTTCGGGTGTGAACTGGGGGCTTTACCTTTCACGTATTTGGGTATACCAATTCACCATCATAAGCTAAAAAAATAGAGAGTGGAAGTGTATTGAGGATCGATTTGAAAAGAAACTGAGTTGCTGGAAGGGCAAGCTGATGTCGTATGGGGGCCGATTAATTCTCATTAATTCGGTACTCACGAGCATGCCTATGTTTCTCTTGTCTTTTTTCGAGGTACCAGTTGGAGTTCAGAAAAGACTGGATTTCTATCGATCCCACTTCTTCTGGCAGAGTGATGACATGAAAAGAAAGTATAGACTCGCTAAATGGGATATTATTTGTCGACCGAAAGACCAAGGGGGTCTAGGTATCGAATATCTTGAGGTTAAGAACAGATGTTTTCTCAGCAAGTGGCTGTATAAGCTATCTGTAGAGTCGGAGGCCACATGGGCGCATATTCTGCGTAATAAGTACCTTCATTCCAAAACTTTATTCCAGGTGACAGTGAGGCCGACGGACTCGCCTTTTTGGAAAGGACTGATGAGAGTTAAATCAGTCTTTTTCAACAGGACAAAGTTTCTAGTCGGAAATGGTACCTCTACGAGATTCTGGGAGGATACATGGCTAGGGGAAACACCCCTCGCGCTTCAACATCCTTCCCTTTATAGCATTGTTCAACGAAGAAACGCTTTTGTTGCAACCGTGCTTCAGTCCACTCCTGTCAATATTCACTTCAGGAGAACACTTGCCGGAGCCCGTTGGGAAGCCTGACTCCATCTGGTGAGAAGACTGATGGATGTGCAGCTTTCTCAACGTCCAGACCAGTTGTGCTGGAAGCTAACCAGGAATGGAGAGTTTAAGGTTAAATCCATGTATCTGGATGTTATCAACTCTAGCTCTATTCCTAGTTCGAAACATGTTTGGAATGTCAAAGTGCCTTCGAGAGTTAAAGTGTTTATGTGGTTTGTACACAAACAAGTCATTTTAACTAAGGACAACTTGACAAAACGCAATTGAATTGGTTCTACAAGATGTAGTTTTTGTGACCGGGACGGGACCATCAAACACCTCTTACTTGACTGTCCGATGGTGAAAATTTTATGGCGGACTGTTCATATTGCTTTTAATATTACTCCTCTGAATAATATCAATACGTTATTTGGACGTGGCTTGACGGGATAGATTCCGAAACAGCGAGACACATTCGTGTAGGGGTAGTGCTTTATTATGGGCAGTCTGGAACTGCAGGAATGATTTGGTTTTTAACAGAACAACAAATACTCATTTTTTGTAGGTTATCTTCCGAGCCACTGCGTTGATCCGTATGTGGTCGCTACTCACTCAGACGGAGGCCAGGGAGCGTTTGGTTACTGGATCTATCCGATGGGAGATGGTAGCTCGGGCTATATTCAACCGGTTTGGATGGGGGTCATGTAATAGGATAGGCGATTAGTTTTCCTACCTTTCTTTTGCCAGCCGGTTGTGGCTTTCCTTTTACCTTTCTACTCTTTGTGAGCTTTTTTTTTGGTTCGTTTGTTTGAGACTTCAAGACCTATGCTGAACTTATTTGCTTTTTAATAAAGGTGGCCGTATGCATTGCTCTGATGCAGAGGCCGGGGTTCTCCCCCTTTTCTAAAAAAAACTAGCAGAGTTTGTTAGCCATATACTCCACATCATTTATATTGAGATTGAGGGAGTATTGATATATCCTTTCAACTCCTAGTTTTAGGCCCAGTTCTTTTGCCAGAATCCGACCACTACCCAGCTTCTTTCAGAATTTTTAAGCCCCATTTGTTTTACAAGATTATGGAACAAGCCAGGTAGGGATCGAATTTTGGAAGAATCCCTAGATTCTCGAAAAAAAACTGGGCCTTACACTGTTATTTACTGGCAACCTCCAGCTGCTAGCAATTGCCACCGAACCTTGCCTAGAAAGGGAATGTGCTTCATTGAGCCGCAAAATGTTGTTTCGCCCGATTGTAATTTGGATTTCCCTCCACATGCGAGCAGGCACTTTTGGTAAACCTCCTGGCACAAAGTTAGCCGGTCAAGCAAGCAACAGTCATCTTGAAGATATCTTCTGTTTTTGTGTGTATCCGAACTCCATTATTAGAGCACCTCCCGCAGTTGCCATCTCAAGCAAGGAACAGCAAGCACCAGGAAGGGAGCCCGGCCATGTGGGTGAGGCTATAGATCAGATCACACGCGGCCCATCCGGCAGGCCATTCCGCCGCCGATAGGAGACAAATCCACCAGTTTGCAGGCCCAAGTAAAACAAAGGTGCCCACCTGGATAAGGATAACTGCAATGCAATTGTCCGCACACACGCTTGGCATGGGAGCACCAGCACGGCTGGCGTTGGTTGCGTAGCGAGTCGATGACACCACTGCATCGCATCGCGTCGCGTTGCTAAACGATCCAGATTCTCTGCGTCACCCCCAGCTGCCCCGCACCCGGCACCGTCACGGCGCCACTCACCCTGGTCGTCACGCGTCACCCAAGCGCACCCTAGCATAAATAATGGCCGTGCTCGGCAGCGCCGCAGCATCTCCGGCTTTACTCCTCTTCTTTTTTTAGTCGGTGTGTGTGTGTGCGCGCGCGCATTTCGCTCGTTCATAGACATGGCTTCCAACGGGAGCGCCGGCGAGGTCAGGGACGTCCACAGCAGCGAGACCACCAAGACCCTCCTCAAGAGCGACGACCTCTACGACGTACGCCAACCGTCTCTCCATGTGTCTTCCACGCGCTCGTCCCTGAATTTTATCTGCTGACTGAGCGTGTGTTGCTTCTGTTTTTGCAGTACATGCTGAAGACGATGGTGTACCCGCGGGAGAACGAGTTCATGCGCGAGCTCCGACAGATCACCAGCGAGCACATCTTGTACGCGGTTCCGCTTCCTTCTCCCCTCCCTCGAGAATTGCAGATTATGGTATGTACGTATTCCAGAAGGATTGCAGATCCCGGTGAGTTAACTGGGGACGTTTGTTTGTTCTGGTTGCAGCGGGTTCATGTCGTCGCCGCCGGACGAGGGGCAGGTGCTGTCACTGCTGCTCAAGGTGATGGGCGCCAAGAGGACCATCGAGGTGGGGGTCTACACCGGCTGCTCGGTCCTCGCCACGGCGCTCGCCATCCCGGACGACGGCAGGATCGTCGCCATCGACGTAAGCAGGGAGTACTTCGAGCTCGGCCTCCCCGTCATCAAGAAGGCCGGCGTCGCGCACAAGGTCGACTTCCGCGAGGGCCCCGCTGGCCCGATCCTCGACAGGCTCATCGCCGACGAGGACGAGGGGAGCTTCGACTTCGCCTTCGTGGATGCCGACAAGTACAACTACGGCAACTACCACGAGCAGCTGCTGCGGCTGGTGCGCGTCGGCGGCGTCCTCGCCTACGACAACACGCTCTGGGGCGGCACCGTGGCCATGCCCGACGAAACGCCGCTCACGGAGGAGGACCGCAAGAAACGGGACTCCATCAGGGGGTTCAACGCCATGATCGCCGCCGACACGCGCGTCGACCCCGTGCAGCTCCCTATCGCCGATGGCATCACGCTCTGCCGCCGCGTCGCTTGATTATAGGACCGGCCGCGCGCAGCTAGCTGGTCGCGCGTCTTATGTCTGACGGAAATAAAATAAACTGGCATGTTTGTTCGCGACATTTTCTTCTAGTGAGCATCTCTACCCGCTCCTCTTTTCAAATAAATTATCTAATAATAGAAGGAAAAAACTAACGCCCACCCGTGTGGCATCTTGCACATCATTCACACGTCTCCTTTAGCATTCATTTTGCCACATGTGAACAGATGACATAACATGATTTTTTTTTGGGCTTAAAAATGTTTTATCTCCTAATTAAAAAATTAAATTAAAAACCCGTTATCATCATTAAATCCGCCTCGACGAGATCTTCAAAACTAGACCCCATGTTGATATGTTTGGATAATTTTTTTTTCTCAATAGTTGCCATAATGTTTATACTGTAGTTGCCATAGTGCTTAAACTAAAGTTGTCATGCGGCAGTTTCAATTTGTAAAGCATGACAATTTTAGTATTTTGATGATGGTAACTCCAGTAATTTGACCATGAAAATTATTATTTTTATGAACCATGACAATTTTAAGTGTATATATCATGGCAAAATTAGTTTATAGTTCATGCAAGTCTAGTTTCTTAATTCCCCGTTTTATAAATGTCAAAATTTACTTTTAAATGTAGAAGAAAATAACTGAAACATATCATGACAACTTCAGTGTAAACACCATGGCAATTCATGTGCAATAGACATAGCAACTTTTAATCCAAAAAAATTCGTCGAAATATATTGATACGAGATCTAGTTTGGAAGAGCTCGTCGTGAAGGATTTAATGGTGAAAACGGATCTTCAATCAGATTTTTCATTTAAGAGATAAAACATTTTAACAATTGAAAATCCAAAAAGATTCTCACCTGCATGCATGCTGTGACGTGGCACAGTCTATGTGTTATAGAGCGAGTGGGCGGGTTTCGCTCCCACCACACGTGCGCGTTAGCGTTGTCCTAATAGAAATGTTGGATATATAAAAATAAAAATGCGATAAAGAAGTTGGATAAAATATACTCACTCCTACAACTTTTTTTCTCCCCAAGAACACAGCAACCCCCTTTCCCACCTCTCGCGACTACCAGGCCGTTACCACAGCCATGACACTCCGGCTCCCCGTATACCCACTGCCGAGCAGGCCCACCCACTTCGTCTTGTCACTGCGCATGCACCTCCGTCATGTCACTTACGGAGCGGCTCCCCTGATGTGTTGTTGGCACACTGGCATGTGGACCCGGTCCCACACGCCATGGGCAGTACATCAGACGATTCCGCTCCATCACTTACCCCGTGCCGACCTATCGCACAACTCGGTCTCGAGCTACCTCGTCGTGGCGCCCAACTTGAGCTTGAGCTCAGTTACTTCGCTTGAGCACGACCTCAAGCTCCACTGTGCCGCTCGAGCCACCTTCTACGCCACTCAGCCAGGTGCTCGGCCGCACCTCTAAAGCTACCTCAACATGTCGCGCAAGCTTGGCAGGTGAAAGAAGGGGGGAGAGGGAATTTTTTTGGCCCAATGCATGCTGGATATGTATGTCAAGGACATACCGGGGGTGAATGTATTGGGGATCAACAACATCTCCCTTGATAATTCAAAATTGTAACTGGAATAGATTATTATTCTTTACTTTTAACACCAGCAATGGATTATTGGTGACATGTTGGAGATGCTCTAAAACACGGTGATAACTTGTTTATAGTGAGGTGGCAACAAATCCATCTTAAAGTCATGCTTCGCGTTCTATTAAAGATCTGGTGGTTCGACAATTGTACTTGTAGTGGATTATCTCCGGGCCAAGTACAACATGTTAGATACAATCTTCTAGAATCACTTCTGTATCTTGGTTCAGGTTGCGATAAAGCCTAACCGAACATATCTTTATTTGTAGCTTCTTGATGCTTAGGCATTGTAACGAACCCAATATTTTACATGCCATCGATGGGGTTGTTCCATCTATATAAACACGCAACGCGGCCTGCCACGACAAGTAGAAATACTTCACAAATTCACATGGTAATCAACACCAACCTTCCATACCACGTCTACCTTTCTAATATATCAACAATGTCGTCTTCCCTTTTCTACAATCAAGTTTCCAAGAAACCTACCAATGGTAATTTCCTCCCATGGAAGGCCCTTGTCCTCCCTCAAATCCATGTGCCTGGCCTTTATGACTATCTTGATGGGAGCCTTCATGAACCAGAGAAAATCATCTCGTCCACACACATAGATGGCAAGACTTTGGTGATGCCCAATCCGTTGTGCACTTCCCGGATGGGCATAGATCAATGGATCCTTACCTGTCTTCTCAATTCGCTCTCGAAGAAGGTCCTCATCTATGTTCCTTACCTAGAGACTTATGAAGCCATGTGGAACACTGTTAGGTCGCACTCCAGATCACGCATAAGTAACCTCTGCATCTCCCTCGCCAAAGTGCAGAAGGAAACCAGGTCGTGTCGGTGTAATTCTCTCGCATGAAAGGTCTCGCCACTAGCTAGCTAGCTACTGCTGGAAAACCTCTCACCGAGGACAAGCTCATCTCCTAAGTCCTTGCTAGCATGGACATGGACAATTCCCCTTGGTATCTGCACTCAATGCTCAAATATGATCCAGTATCTCTTGATGCTCTCTATGGTTAGATGGCCAACTTCGACAAGCATGTTGACCTTCTACAAAAATCCGGGCCTCATCTGTGCGCGGTGGGGGTAGAGCTATGACTCTCGCCTCCAATGTTAGATATACGGGAAAATGGGACATATCACCATGGTCTGCTGGTACCACTTCACGGACGACTAACTCTCATAAGAAAAGAGCCCGAACCCGCCAACACCTCCAAGTACGACATAGATACTAATTGGTACACCGATAGTGGGGTTACTAGTCATATCACCGGCGATCTGCAACAACAGTTTAAAATTTGTGAAAATGATTACGAGAATGATCAAGTTCACACCATTGATGGTTAAGGTATGCACATTAGACACATTTTGCATTAAGTTATTAAAACCACATATTATAAAATTCATCTATGCAACATATTGCATGTCCTATCTGAAGGAAATATGCCCTAGAGGCAATAATAAAGTTGTTATTTTATATTTCCTTACTTCATGATAAATGTTTATTATTCATGCTAGAATTATATTAACCGGAAACCTGATACATGTGTGCATACATAGACAAAATACCATGTCCCTAGTAAGCCTCTACTAGACTAGCTCGTTGATCAAAGATGGTTAAGTTTCCTAACCATAGACATGTGTTATCATTTGATAAACGAGATCCCATCATTAGGAGAATGATGTGATGGACAAGACCCATTCGTTAGCTTAACATTATGATCATTCAGTTTTATTGCTATTGCTTTCTTCATGTCAAATACATATTCCTTCGACTATGAGATTATGCAACTCCCGGATACCGAAGGAATGCCTTGTGTGTTATCAAACGTCACAATGTAACTGGGCGATTATAAAGATTCTCTACAGGTGTCTCCGAAGGTGTTTGTTGGGTTGGCATAGATCGAGATTAGGATTTGTCACTCTGAGTATCAGAGAGGTATCTCTGGGCCCTGTCGGCAATACACATCATAAGAAGCCTTGCAAGCAAAGTGACTAGTGAGTTAGTTGTAGTTGTATTACAGAACGAGTAAAGAGACTTACCAGTAACAAGATTGAACTAGGTATGAAGATACCGACGATCGAATCTTGGGCAAGTAACATACCGATGACAAAGGGAATAACGTATGTTGTCATAACGGTTCAATCGATAAAGATCTTCGTAGAATATGTGGGAGACAATATGAGCATCCAGGTTTCGCTATTTGTTATTGACCGGAGAGGTGTCTCGGTCATGTCTACATAGTTCTCGAACCCGTAGGGTCCGCATGCTTAACGTTCGATGACGATATTGTGTTATATGAGTTATGTGATTTGGTGACCGAATGTTGTTCGGAGTCCCGGATGAGATCACGGACATGATGAGGAGTCTCGAAATGGTCAAGAGGTAAAGATTGATATATAGGACGATAGTATCCGGAACACTTTCTGGAGGGTATCGGGTACTTATCGGGTCACCGGAAGGGGTTCCGGGCACCCCCGGCAAAATATATGGGCCTATTGGGCCAAGAGGGGAAACGCACCAGCCACCAGGGGATGGTGCGCCCCTCATATGGGCCGAACCAGGAGGAGAAGGAAAGAGGGAAAGGGAAAAGGAAAGGGGGGATTCGGCCTCCCCCTTCCTTCCCTCCTCCCTCCTCTTTCCTTCCTCTCCGGCAAATAAGGAAAGGGGGGGGGCGAATTGGGGAGGAACCCCAACTAGGATTCATCCTACTTGGGAGCTCCTGGCCGCCTCCCCTCTCCCCCAACCTATATATATGTGGGGGCGCCCTAGAATACACAACATCAACTGTTAGCCGTGTGTGGCGCCCCCTCCACAGTTTACACCCCTGGTCATATTCTCGCGGTGCTTCGGCGAAGCTCTGCGCAGATCACATCACCATCACTGTCACCATGCCATCATGCTAACGGAACTCGTCTACTTCCTCGACATCTTGCTGGATCAAGAGGACGAGGGACGTCATCGAGCTGAACGTGTGCAGAACTCGGAGGTGTCGTACGTTCGGTACTTGATCCGTCGGAGCTAGAAGAAGTTCGACTACATCAACCGTGTTCTCAAACACTTCCGCTTATGGTCTACGAGGGTACGTAGACACAGTCTCCCCCTATCGTTGATATGCATCTCCTAGATAGATCTTGCGTGAGCGTAGGAATTTTTTTGAAATTGCATGCTACGTTTCCCAATAGTGGCATCCGAGCCAGGTCTATGCGTAGATGATATGCACGAGTAGAACACAAAGAGTTGTGGGCGGTGATTGTCATACTACTTACCACCAATGTCTTATTTTGATTCGGCGGTATTGTTGGATGAAGCGGCCCGGACCAACCTTACATGACCATGTTCATGAGACTGGTTCCACCGACAGACATGCA